ATGAGGGGTTACCCCAACCCGAGCCCCGCGGCGCTGGGAGCTGGGGTCACCCCTGCCCCTGGGGAGCTTGCCCTGGCCCCGCTGGCCCTGGAGCTGCTTTTCCACCAAGGCTTCATAATTTGCTGCTTTTATCACAATTTTTTGTGCACAATTCTTTTCCACGCAGAGCTGTTATTTCTTTAATGAGGAGGGTTTTCCTCGTGTGTGAGAGACAGACAGAGAAGGAGGAAAATGAGTAAAACTGTGTGTGGGTGAGAGCTGGGGAAAGAGAGAAAGCGTGTGGGAGAGAAGATGTGAGTACGTGTGTGTGAGAATATTTATGTGTCTGTGTCTGCAAAACTGTGTGTGTGCATCTGTGCCCGTGCAGCTGAGAGACACCCAGCAGGGTGAAGGACCCGGCGCCCCCACGCTGCCTCGGGGGGGATTCTACCAGGAACACCTGCACTGTTGTCCTTCAAACCCAGGGCACAGCCAGGGCTTCCCTGGCAGCAGGAGCCTGGTGTCACTGCGGGCAGAAGGTCACACTGTGCAGAAGCAGCACAGGCTGCAGGGGAGCAGAAGAGTCCACGCTGCCCAAACAAACACCCTGGAGAAAGGACACGGTGCAGTGGGGCCCATCTGTGGTGTGGCCTCTCCCAGACAGGGTGGGCTGAGGACCTCACTCAGCACCTCCCTTCTGCAGAGGGGAGCAAGGGGGATGCTCAGAGCCCTTTCTGGGGTGTCCTCCTTGGATGAGAGGGATGACGATGGAGACTCGCTTGGTAAAAATCAATTTAAAAAGCTTATTGGAAGCCCTTTGGCTCCGTTTTTCTTCCAGCTAGAGATTCCCAATGGGGAAATCCCTAAATTAAAAGAGGAGGGAAGCTGCAAGGCTGCAGGGTTTGCAGGACCCTGTGCTCATCATCCTGCAGCACAGGGCTGGGGCAGAGCTAGCTGCCTCTGACCCCTTCAGTAGGAAATCACGGGAGGAGCATTGGATGGAGTCAGCTCTTGGGATGACTCAGGCCTGGATGGCAAATGCCCACAAAGGGGGGAAGTTCTCTACTCACTGTCCTCGTGGGGTGGGCAGCTCGCTGGTGTAAAACCACCCCTGGCATGGGGTGTGGATGAAGTGTTGCTCATTTACAGCATGTAAAATCCAGCCTGGAGCAAAGCAGAGACAAGCTGCACTGCTGTGAAACTTGTGAAAGTGGCACCTTTGTTCTGGGCTCTGTGTAACGGATGGAAAAGTGTTGAGGTTCCTCAAGGCCCAAAAAGCAGCAGGGCACCTGGAGCCACAGGCTTGAGCCACGGGACAGAGCCTGTGAAGGAGCCTCATGGGCTGGCTCTGGGGCTCCCCACAGCTCCCAAGGAGCAACAGCAAAGAGCTAGAGAACACCCTGCTAGAGGAAAGGGGAGAAAAATCCCCCAAGGCAAGCGAGGGGCTACCAGAGGACCACTGGGGCCATGCCCTGGGCTCAGGGGTGGCCAGTGGCACAGGGGCTCCCCGTCTGCACAGCTTTGTACCCCACGGACACAGCCCAAATTCTTAAACACTGGTGATTACAGTTCACTCACTGCAGTAGTGCAGCTGGGTAGCAGTGCCCACATCCCCCAGGAAACACAGACCCTCACTTCCCATTTTTCACTTTTCCCCTGGAATAAAAAGAGCTTTTCTTCCATCTTTTCTTTCCCTCTTTCTTCCTTTCTCTCTGGGGGGATGTCTTTTCCGAGCCGTGCTGGGGAACTGCAGACGTGTACATAACATATCTGTCAAACTTATGTAAGTGCTCCATTAACACAAAACTTGCACAGCTGTAAGAACACTTAGGAGCTCTTCACGTCTTATGCAATTGCATAAGTTAAGTTACACAAAAAAAAAGCTACAGATTAAATGCATGCTAAACAAACAACAAAAAGCCATGGAGCCCAGTGCCTAAATGCTCTTCCTTTTAAAGGCACAGCTGGCACAAACCAGCCAGCCACAGTGAGCTGCTCTGGTTCTAATTACAAGCACACCTTTGCTGGAGGACACCCGTTGGGGGGTCACTTTCCTCTGACAGGCTCCACCAGGA